CTCCAACAAGGAGAGAACTAGAAAATTCTACTGTCTCCAGAAGTAAGGAAATAATAATGATTAGCACAGAGGAATAAAGGAAACAAAAAAGAATGCAATCAAGAAGACTAGAATTTTTGTTAATTATGGCTTGGGTTAACATTTAAAAACCATATTGAAATTTCCCCCTCCTGGTTTATTTATTCATGCACATTCTGTTCCACAATATCAATTAGAGCACACACAATATCTGATGGTCCATTCATTCCACATTGTCCTTCCCATCTCAATAAATGTTCATTGTCTACTAATTAATAAATATTCTATACTCTCCCTCCCTGATAACCATACTAAATTAATTCTATAAATGTAAAATTTTCTAATTTTTGTAACAGTGGTCTTACACAATATTCATCCTTTTGTGATGGACTTAATTCACTTCGCATACTGTCCTCTAGATGCATCTGTGACATGTAGTTTTTCATCAATCATTGTTTTTAATGTTGTGTAATACTCCTATTTTGTGAATACATCATAGTTTCTCAGTCCATTCATTGATGTGCATTTGGCTTGTTTCTATCTCTTTATTATTATAAATAATGCTGCAATAAACACGGGCAGGGATCTTGCTTAGTTTAGCCCATATTTCTTTAGGGTATGCCTAGTAGTACAATAGCTGGATCAAATGGCACTTCTAATTTTAATTTTTTTTTAAGGAAACATGAAACTGCGTTCCATTGTGGTTACACCATTTTACATTCCAATCTCACAATATTCTCATCAACATTTGTTGTTTGGTCCCTGTTGAACTTTGCTCTTGTTATTGAGAGGAGATGATACTTCATTGTTGTTTTGATTTGTAGCTCTCTAAACAGCTGGTGAGGGGATCTCTAGTGGCGTAGTGGTAAGGAGTTGTGTGCTGTCAACTCAAAGGCATGCAGTTCAAATCCACCAGCTGCTCTGAGGTAGAAAGATGAGCATATTCGCATGCAACTTACCTCTCAAAACTTATGGAAGGTCAGCTAGGCATTGGTTCCAACTCAAGGGCACATAACAGCACGGCTTTCAGCTAAGGACCATCTGACATCAATAATGATATCCCTTGTTCCACAGCCTCTTTTTCAACTTGAATTCTTGCAGTTACCTGTCTCTGTTATAGCCATTTTTAAATAATCTTCAGCGAGATTTTGATATTACTCATGAATTTCTGCTTTCTTTTGGATCACTTTTTTTGAAATGGGAGTAAATATGAATCTCTTCCAGAGAGGAAGTGAGAAAAGTGCAATTTCACTATGTGTATAGAAACTAATACTATTGAACAAAATGTGTATGAGTCATTGAATTAAAAACTAGTTCATTTTGAAATTTTCACTCAAACTAAATAAAAAACGGGAAGAGTTTATTAAACCTTAAAACAACCTGTATGGGATCAAAATGTAACATTGCCCTAAGAATAGAGCCTAGAAGACAGAAAAAAAGAAAGCTGAAATGGTAAACAGAAGGAGGAAATGGGTACAGTGAGTGTTACAGGTGGGGGCTGCAATGTAACAAAAGAAAATGTGTCTCAGCTGTGGAATAGAAAACTAATTCACTCTGTAAAGTCTCACTCAACTCACAGTCTAAAAAAAGATTGATTTGTTTGCTTTATCAAGGGTTTTTAAATAACCTTAAATTAGAAAGTCAGAGAATATTGTTGTTGTTATTGTTGTTGTTGTTGTTATGTGCCATCGAGTCACTTGCGACTCATAGCAACCCTATTGGCAACAGCCCTAAACTCTGTTCTGTCTTGTGCCAAACGCACCGTCTCTGTTCTGTCTTGTGCCAATCGCACCGTCTCCGATACACCGATCCCAATTACCCCGGTCACTGAATCAATCCACCTCTTAGAGGGCCTTCCCCTCCTGCGCTGTCCCTCTACCCTCCCAAGCATGATGTCCCTCTCCATGGACTGGTCCTTCCTTACAACATGTCCAAAATATGTTAGACGAAGTCTGAGAATCCTTGCCTCCAAGGAGCCGCCCGGTTTAACCCTTTCCAGGATGAATCTGTTTTCCTAGCAGTCCATGGTACATTCAATACTCTTCTCCAGCACCACAGCTCAAAGGCATCAATTCTCCTTCTATCCTCCTTAGTCGTTGTAACAAGTGATAGCAAAGACCATGGCCTATATCAGATGCACCTTAGTCTCCAGAGAGACACCATTGCTCTTCAGTACTTTGGAGAGGTCTCTAACATGGCAATACGTCTTTTAATTTCCTGGCTACTGGTGCCAAGAGTGTTGACTATGGAGCCAAGCAAACTAAAGCTGTGAACAATCAATCTCTTCACCATCCATCCTGATGCTGCCAATTGGCCCACTGGTAAGAATCTTTGTCTTCTTGACATTGAGCCTCAATCCATATTGGAGGCTGCAGTCCTTGACCCTCTGCAGCAAGTGCTTCAGGTCCTCCTCACTTGGAGCAAGCAGGATTGTGTCATCTGCATAACGCAAATTGTTGATAGATCTTCCACCAATCCTGACGCCACACTTCTCCTCATAGAGCCCAGCCTCTCGGATAAACTGTTCTGCATACAGGTTGAAAAGGTATGGAGATAGGACACATCCCTGATGTACACCCTTTCCAATTTTGAACCATGCAGTGTTTCCTTGCTCTGTTCTGTACTATGTACAGAGAATATTACTGCTTCTAATTTAGGCATGTTGTACTCAATAATCACGACAATGCTCCACCACAGAAAAAATTCTCCAAGCTGTTAAAGGCCACAAAGAACTCACACTGAATGCTGTATGGCTAACAAAATGTGAAAGAAAGTTCTATCCACTATGGAGGATTTGCTAAAGTGGCATACTTGGACCAGGAGGCAGTTGTCAGAACAGAGCAAGGAAACACTGCATGGTTCAAAATTGGGGAAGTTGTGCATCAGGAATGTGTCCTAGCTCCATATCTTTTCAATCTATATGTAAAACAGTTTATCTGGGAGGCTGAGCTGTATGAGGAGTAGTGTGGCATCAGGATTAGAGGTAGACTCATCAACCATCTGCATCATGCAGATGATACAGCCCTCCTTGCTGAAACTGAGAAGGACCTGAAGCGCTTGCTGCAGAAGGTCAAGGACTGCAGTCTTCAATATGGATTCAAGCTCAACATAAAGAAAACAAAGATTCTTATCACTGGGCTGATTGACAGCATCATGATAGATAGTGAAGAGATTGAGATTGTTGACAGATTCAGTTTGCTTGGCTGTACAATCAACACTCTTGGTACCAGCGGCTAGAAAATTAAAAGACTTACTGCACTGGGAAAGTCTGCTGTCAGAGACCTCTCCAAAGTACTGAGGAGCAACGATGTCACCCTGGAGACGAAGGTGAGCCTGATTTCCAATCACTTGCTATGCATCAGAGAGCCGGACAATGACTAAGGATGATAGAAGGAGAGCTGATACCTTTGAGCTGTGGTGCTGGAGAAGAATAATGAATATACCGTGGACTGCTAGGAGAACAAACAAGTTCGTCCTGGAAAAGGTGAAGCCAGGGTGCTCCTTGGAGGTAAGGATTCTGAAGCTTCGTCTGACATACTTTGACATGTTGCAAGGTTGGATCAGTCCTTGGAGAGGGAAGTCATGCTTGGTAGGGTGGAGGGACAGTGCAGGAGAAGACCCTTAATGAGATGGATTGATTCCGTCACAGGGGTTATGGGGATAAGTGTGTCGGAGACAATAAAGTTGGAAAGAGATAGAGCAGGGTTTAGGACTGTTGTACATAGGGTCACTATAAGTTGCAAGTGACTCAACAGCACATAACAACAACAACAACATCTGTAGCAGATTAACAGTATGATTTCTAGTCATGGGCTTTTTAACTCTCGGCACATGGCAGGGTTTTGTTGTTGTTGTTACGTGTTGTTGAATTGATCATTACTCATAGCAACTCTGTGAATAACAGATTTGAACCCTGCGCTATTCTATACTATCCCCATCATCTCTGCCACCCCGGAGCCCATTGTTGTAGTTACTGTGTCAATCTATCTTGTTGAGGGTCTTCCCTCCTTTGTTGACCCTCCACTTTTCTGAGTATGATGTCTTTTTCCAAGGACAGGCCCCTTCTAACAACATGCCCAAAGTATGTGAGAAAAAGTTTCACCTTCCTTCCTTCTAAGAAGTACCCTGGCTGCACCTTCTCTAATATATATTTGTTTGTTCTTTTGGCAGTCCATGGAATATTTCATATCCTACTCTAGCACAACAAATCAAATGTATTGTTTCTTCTTCCGAAATCTTTCACTGTCCACCTCTTAGGTGCATTACAAGTAATTGAAAGGAGCAAGGCTTAGCTCAGATGTATCTTAACCCTTAAATGACATCCTTGCTCTTCAGCATTTTGGAGAAACCCTTGACTGCTGACTTTCCCAATGCAATGTATCTTTTGACTTCCTGACTGCTGGTACCAAGAGAGCTGATTGTGGATCTAAGTAAGATGAAATTATTCACAATTTCATTATTTTTCCATCTATCATGATATTTCCTACTGGCCCAGTGGTGAGAGTTTTTGTCTTCTTGATGTTAAGATGCAATGCATATTGAAGGCTATCATCTTTGATCTTCTGCAGCAAGCACTTCAAATCTTCCTTATCTTCAGCAAAACAAAGTTGTGACCTGCATAACACAGGTTGTTGATAAGTTTTCCTCCAGTCCTTATGCCATGTTCTTCCTCATAAAGTCTAACTTCTCAAATTATTTGCTCAACATAGAAATTGAATAGGTATGGAGAAAGGGTACAGCACTGACACATACCTTTCCAAATTTTAAACCATTCTGTGTTCTCTTGCTCTGTTCAAACAACAGGTTCTTGGTCTAGGTATAGATTTCACATGAGCGCAGTTAAGCATCTGGGATTCCCGTTCTTTTCACTATTGGCCACAGTTTGTTATGAGCCCCACAAATGCCTTTGCATAGTCAATAAAACACAAGTAGATGCCTTTCTGGTGCTAACAGTTTGACTATTTTGCTAGCCTTAAAGTGAGCCGGGGTCGTGGGTTCTGCGGCGGCGCTGGCAGTCGAGCCGGGGGAGGATGCCTTTAGGAAACTTTTTCGCTTCTACCGACAAAGCCGTCCCTGGAGCGCGGACCTGGGAGGTGTCATCGACTTCTCGGCGGCTCACACTGCCCGGGGCTCAGCTGCCCACAAGGTGGTCAGATCTCCGCTTAATGTGTCCTCAGTCAATGAACACGATGCACGTAGAGCAGGACTTCAGCCTGTCAGCAAGTGGCGAGCCTATGGCCTAGAAGGCTATCCTGGATTTATTTTTATCCCAAACCCTTTCCTCCCCGGATACCAGTGGCACTGGATCAAGCAGTGCCTTAAGTTTTATTCCCGCAAACCCAATGTATGCAACCTGGACAAGCACATGACTAAAGAAGAGACCCTTGATGTGTGGGAACAGAGTAAGGAGTGCCTTAGGCAGAAAGACCTGAGTAAACAGAGACCTCGAAGTTTACTTGAGAAGCTACGCTGGGTGACCTTGGGCTACCATTATAACTGGGACAGTAAGAAATACTCAGCCGATCATTATACACCTTTCCCTTCTGACCTGGCTTTCCTCTCCGAGCAAGTGGCCGCTGCCTGTGGATTTCTGGGTTTCCAACCTGAAGCAGGTACCCTGAATTACTACCACTTCGACTCCACACTGGGAATCCACGTTGACAGATCAGAACTAGATCACTCCAAACCCCTCCTGTCATTCAGCTTTGGACAGTCAGCCATCTTCCTCCTGGGTGGCCTCAAAAGAGATGAAGTCCCCACAGCCATGTTTATGCACAGCGGTGACATCATGGTAATGTCAGGTTGCAGCCGCCTGTTGAACCATGCCGTCCCTCGAGTTCTTCCAAATCCTAAGGCGCAGAGCCTGCCTCCCTGCCTGGAGATGCCCCTCCCAGCTGATCTCCCCAGAGATGCGGTGGTGGAGCCCTGTTCTCTGGAAGACTGGCAGGTGTGTGCCAGCTACCTGAAGACTGCCCGTGTTAACATGACTGTCCGGCAAGTGCTGGCCACAGGCCAGGCCTTCCCCTTGGAAACCATGGAGGAGCAAAAAGACATCACAACAGAAGGTCTCTGCCATCTGGATGCCAAAAAGACCCACGTAAAACGGGCCAAATTGGACTCCAACAGTGGATGCTGGTAGAGCCCATTCTCTTTTGGACTTGAACACCAGGACAAGCCAAAGCAGGGAAAAGAAGCCTTGCCATTGACCACAGTGTTGCTTTGGAACTCATTCTGAAGAATAAATTGGCTAACCATTTAGCCTAGAGGAGTATTTGATGAAGTCCTCATGGTCTGATCTAGTTCAGTGTTGATGCTAACGTGGGGAAAACCGAAGGAAGTGTCACCATTCACAGTGGTCTTCAGCCCCTGGCCTGCCTCTGAGAGGTGGAGGGGGTCTCCATGTCGGTGCAGACTAAATACCTCCCATATACGTACATGTCTACAGATGGAAGACAGGGTGGTAAGCTTCGTGATTCCATGAACTAGCCTCATGCTCTCGTGTTTTTAACTCAACTCATGCTTTGATCTTCTCTTCACTTTTTGCTGACACTCATAGAAGAATCATACACCTTCACACAATGGAATTGGCAAACAAACTTAGCACACCGTCTTTTTTTGCCTGAAACGTAAATACATAGATACCAAAGCAGGAGGAACTGTAATTTCTTCATTTGTGTTTTGTAGTTCTGTTCTGCCGAGTCAGAACTGATCCATAGCTGACCCTCTAGCAGGTTTTCAGAGGCTGTAAATTCTAAGGAAGAGGACTGCTCATCTTTCACGGAGCAGCTGGTGGATTTAAACCGTCAGACTGGACGTTAGCAGTGCAACTCCCTACTCAGAAAGCCACCAGTGTCTTTTAAGTCTCCAGATTCTCCCTTTTAGCTTTTTTTAAATGCAGTTTTTAATCATTGCACTAAAAATGGCCCATGAATGTTCTGCAGCGACTTTATTTCCTGCTTTGTTCTAAGTATTGTTAGATACCCTCTAACTGTTTCTACTTTACATCTCCCTCTTCTCCTCGAGATAGTCTTTGTCACACAGAATATTTTTTAATACTTCAGTCACTAATATCTTTTCTGATAAACAGCTTGGAACATTTGAGTAATCTCAACAGCTAACCTCATTATATGCACAGCCAAATTATATTACTCTAGACCTTAATGTTTTCATTCATTAAATGAGGATAAGATTTACATCTTCCTAGAATACTGGTAGGGAGCTCTCATAGCAATAGGCTGTAGTGTGTTACACTGCTAGCAAAAAGTCCTGGTTCTCCAGTGGTTTGAGTGGAACAGCTGCTCCTCAGAAGGAAGACAAGCAGTTTCCTTCCATTGGGATTTACAGTCTCAGAAACCCACTGGAGGATTGTTTTGAGTCAGAATCAACTCAGTTAGCAGTGAGTTTGAGTTTCACTTTGAGAAGGGTGATAGTATTTAATATAGACATCATGCTGTGAAAAGGTGGAGGGTCGGAGGAAGACCCTCACTGGAATGGACTGACGGTCACTAACAGTGGACTCAAGATGGTGAGGATGGCACAAGACAGGGTATGGCTCAGATCTGATGTTCATAGGGTGGCTGCGAGTCCTAGTGGACTTGGTGGCACCAACAACAGGGCTGTTGTTTTCCTACTTAGAAACATGAAATACCAGTATTGTTTTGTTGCCCTATGAATCTTTAGAAACATCGTTGCTTGTATGTATCTTATGTAGAGAACTGGCTGGAAGCGGTCATATCTACTGCAGGCAGCATGCAGTGCCATATTGGCATCTCTCCTATTCGCCCCCCCCTTTATTTTAGCAACCTTGAATATATGTGCTAATTTTCCATAGTTTTTTTTTAAAGCTAATATGGATCCAACCCTTTTCCTAAAGCTAGTTTCTAAAGTTAGAACATCATAGGAAAATTTTCTGTATTTAACTTTACCACTGGAAAAAGCAAAATAGGAAATTATTTGTGACCCATTGGACGTTACCATATTGTCATTTCATTAACCCAACAGTCATTTCCTCCTTTAGCATAAAAACAGACACCTGTTTATTCACCTAAGTATCAGATAAAGATGTTGATTTGTGTTTACAGAGCCACATTATCCCAAGAAATGTGTACTTAAACGGTAGACCCACACTCCACAAAGCAAGGTGCTTATGCTGCAAGAACCATATAGAAGCAGGCTTACCATCGCAGGCTCAGCCTAGCCGTTGTATTCCTGGAGTGGAATGAGTAGCAGATTGGTGAGCACATTTTGACTCTGTTATTTTTGTGATGCACGTGTAGTTGAGGGTTGTTTGTATGATGCAACTTGTCTTTGATAGAAGAAAATTAGCAGTTCAAGGAGAAGGGAGATAGTGGTCTTTCTACACTTAACATGAGAAATTTGTTTTCATTGTCTACCAGACATTTGGAAAGCAGAGGCTAATGACTACCACACTGGGTTTGGGCATGACCCCATCATGAGATAGGGCAAGGTTCAGACCTGTTGTTTATAGGGTTGCTCTGAGTCGCATTCAACTCCTTGGCAGCTAACAGCAGCAGCAGACTGAAGCCTGCTTCCTGTTTTTGTACTGTTTTGAACTAAGAACAGTTTTCTGTTTCTAAATAGTTGGGGGTAAAAATAATGATTTTTGACACATAAAAGTTATGTGAAATTCAAATTTCTGAATCTTTAAATAAAGTTTTATTGGAACACACACACACACACAAAAGTGAGCCGATGTTAAGAAGTGGGAAACAGGATCTTACTACCATTAAGAAAGAAGAATCAGAGTTCAGTATGACCTCTGAAACTGAGGGTCCTACATGAAGCAGAGACATAGAGAGGAAACAGTAAAGGTGGTAACAGCAGTAGCAAAAATGGTAGCAGTGATGCAGTAACATTGCCCTTGGCAGCAGAAATAATGGAGAATAAGGGATCTATGTGAGGCAAAACTGAGCTAGTTCTGTTGACTCACAGAGCTAGAACCAAGCATCTTCAAGCTTACATTTTCTGGTAGAGTGGGAATGATGCATAATTGGCAGAACTAAAATAGCTTTGTAATACTTATCTGAGCAGGTCAGAGGCCAAGGCCAAAGGCAGAGAGTCAGAGAGGGGCCTGCCTGTGAGCACTGCTGAGACAAGGTCATCCTTATTGAAGAATCGTATCTTGAATGTTTCCAACTTGAATCATAATCTGCCACTTCTCTAACAAATTTCATAACTGTAAGTAATATCTGTGAGTTCTGTGTGGCCATTGCAACAAATCAATTGGCAGTTGATGTTAGACTGCTGAAGATGTAGAACATGGAAAACTTATATGACCTCATAGGAATCTACACTGTGTTGTTTATGGAGATTTCTCCCTGTTATGAATTCAGTGGATGTCAGACATTGCACCTTGACAATTGCCACTGTTTTGACATATGGATTAAAGACCAGACACAAAAGTGACTCCCTCCCAGCATTGACAGTTACTGCTAAGGCACAAAGCTTATTCAAGATGCTTAAAGAAAAAGCAGGACCAGAGTGCAATATGGTGTCCACACTATGTCCAAATCACCCAACATCCTATTTCAGTCACATATGTTAAGCAACACATGACTGAATATGCGGGAAAGGCCCAATCAATGACTTGCTATTATACATAATCAGAGGCAAGGCCTACAACAGCATTCGATACAATCCAGGTATGTTCTTGAACCAGCCCATGGTGACTCTCCTGGAGAAACAGAGAATACCAGGTGTGGTGTTGAGCATTTATTGTTCAAAACAGCTGTCCTAGTCATTGAACTTGACTTTGTCATGTCAATGGCTGGAAATATTTGAATAGGTTCTGTTAGTTCATCCACAAGGAGATTGGCTAATCTCATTATTTATATAAATTATTCATATAAATTGAAGAGATTCAGCAGCAGATTGGAGAATCTGACCACCAGCTAAGAAACAAGAGAATTCAGTGGGTCCTTTGGATCAGGGCCAACAGGAGCAGCAACCATAACAGCCACAGAAGAGAACCAGAGATCTGGCGTGAGACAGAGCAGACCTTGGGACTGTTATGCCTTTTATCTACAGCTGAAAGCCTTTTGCCCATATTTGTTAAAGGACTGGGGAAGAGAGCCATAATTGGAAAAACTGAGAGCTTTGTAACACTAACCTGAAGCCATGAGGCTCAAGGCTGGAGTGCCTGTGACCACTTTTCAGAAGCTGTCCTGAGTTATTATATTCTGCTGCTAACCATTGTGACAGACTTCAGTCTCCCTGTCTGTGTCAGAGTGGCTTGTCAGCACATTTGTCTGAACCCAGAACTGTGAGGCTAGGAAGTGAGCATGACTACAGATAGGACTTTATCTCTACAAGAATCTAAATACAGTGAAGCAAGCAAGCAGGTATCAGTCAGAATTTCAGTAGTATTTTGGGTAGAAAATTTTGGAGACACTAAGAGAGATGGTATACCAATTGACATATTTCAGCTAACAGATGCTGTCGTGGATGTGCTCACCAAGTTGTGCCAAGAAATCTGGAGAACAACCACTTGGCCAACTGACTGGAAGAGGTCTATATTTGTTCCCATCTCAAAGAAGGG